TATGGCAATTCCCCTCGTTAACTCCCGAACCGCAATTTCTACTCTTCTCGCCGTTTGCATGTATATCCCATCTTGGGGGTCACTGAGGGCGTAAAGTGGGTTTCCTAAAAAATATGTTTCTGCAAAGAAAAGGATGAAAGTGCGCTAGCCGAAGTCCGGATCGGGCGCACGATACCTGCGAAACAATAGGTAGTGGCGTAACATTGCTTAATGTATAAATAATTATATCATCATTAATGGTCGACATCTCCAACAAATATGCCCGTATAAACCCCTCCCAGCTCCCGCAACTGACTAGACGAATGTAATTATTCGGGAATGACACTTCATCATTCTAATTGTTTTACGCTAACTAGAAAACATATCTAAAACTTTGAGATGATGAGTACCTTTTGAAAATAATCAAGTAAATTATAAAAATATAAGGCACACGGTCAACACGTGCACTGGCGGTTAACACATTTAAAGCAAATTCTAGATTATCCAACTTCAGGAATGGCTTTCAGCCTTTGACATAAAAGCGATGCAGGAATAACACGATAGTAACGAAATTTAATGTCGAAAACCGAAAGTTTTCTAGTATATTCCGGGAAATAATATTACCAACTGGAAACTGCCTTGCTAGGAAATACTCTGCTCAAAACGGCACTAACTTACTGTTGAGCAGAGTATGTGGTGAATTTATTTATTTATTTTTTATTTATTTATTTAACCAGAAACCATACAGAATAAAAATTCCAATTACATGGCACTGGGGCTCTGAACAAATATTAGGACTTAAGATCTAATTTTATTTATTATTGAATTTAGGGGATCCTGAAAAAAGTCGATATCATTAACTGAGGACAACTTATTTAAAGTGATCAAGATCTTAATAAGTGGGGAAGTTGTGTTGTTAATTGCAAAAATAGTATTATTTTGCCTTAGCTTAACAAATGGTACCTTAAGCTTAATTTCTTGAAGTAATTCGGAAGAGTTTAACAAATTGTGTAAAATTTTGAAGACAAAAATTGTGGAGGCAATGTACCGTCGGGGTTCTAACCTCGTTATATCTAAGCCGAAAGTACTATTTAAGTAATTAAGCTGGGTACCGTAAGAGATCAAATGTGGATAATTTTGGGTTGATCTATAAAACATTACTCGGATGAACTTTTTCTGCACTTTTTCGATCATGTCTGAGTATTTGAGAGTTTGAGGAGACCAGATACATGCAGCATACTCAAGCTTGGATCTAATAAACGCATTATATAAGGTTAGCATTGTCTGTATATTCGTGAAATTGAGTGTATTTCGGATAACGAAACCAAGAAGTTTGTAACACTCATTTGTTAGGTATTCAATGTGTGAGTTGAAGTTAAGGTTGGTATTGAAAAACACGCCCAGGTCCTTAACGGAGGTGACTCTTAGAAAGACCTTTCCATTCATCTTATAGTCAAAAAGTAAGGGATTTTTCGATCTAGTAAAAGTAAGGACTTTACACTTATTGATATTTAGTTTTAGTTTATTTTTGATACACCACTTAATTACTGAGTTAATGTCCTCTTGAATATTTAAACAGTCACTTGCGGATTGGACTTTATTAAAAAGTTTTAGGTCGTCCGCAAATAGTAGTGCTTTCGAGTTTTTTATCACTCGCGGTAAATCATTTATGTATAAGAGAAACAGAAAAGGACCAAGAAGTGTTCCCTGGGGAACGCCTGATGAGGGATAAAATTCGGCTGAATTCACACCATTGAATTTCACTCTTGTTTTACGGAGAGATAAATATGATTTCAAGAATTTGACGGTCGGATTACTTACGCAATTTAAAACAAGTTTACGGAGCAAGACTTGATGGGATACTGTGTCAAATGCCTTCGCAAAATCTGTATAAACACAGTCTACCTGGGCTCTCTCATCCAAGGCTGCTGCTGAGAAATGCGTAAACTGCATTAAATTTGTAATCGTTGATCTGTTCCGCGTGAAACCGTGCTGTTGATCTGCAATTATACTGCTGAGATGGGAATAAAGTCTAGTATAGATCACTCTTTCGAAAATTTTCGCTATTGCTGGTATAATTGCAATTGAGCGATAATTCTCAACTAATTTTCGGCTTCCACTTTTGTGAATTGGTGTTATTCTGGTGCATTTCCAAGCTTCAGGGAATGTACATGTTTGCAAAGCTAAATTAAATAGATGTTGTAAGGGGGTTACCAATAAAGATGCACATCCTTTCACGATGTAGGGTGGGATTCCATCTTCGCCTATAGCCGACCTCGGTTTCAATTTTTTAATTGCTTCCAGTATCTCGGATTCATGTAACTGAGTCAAGTGCAATTTGGATAGCACCAGGTCCGATTCCACGTCATCTTCCGGGTCATCGTTCCTCTCCATAGTGTAGACTGACTCGAAGAAGGATGCAAAGGCGTCCGCAATGCTTCTGGCGTCCGTTAACGAGGTGTCTTTGTACTCAAAAACTCCAGGTAGTTGACTATTCTTCCTCAACGACTTGATGTAGTTCCAGAATTTATTGGAATTCTTCCGCAGATCCATTTCAATTTGATTAATGTACCTCTTATGAGCAATGTGGATCATTCTTTTGAGTTCTTTTCTGGCTTCAATGAAGTCTTCCGATTGGCCCTGTAACCGAAACTTATTTTTCTGTTTGATTTTCTTAATAATGTCTATATTAAACCAGCTAGGATACTTATTGGCACTCCTAATTGTAACTTTGGGGACACATTCATCGAAAATGTTCATTACCGTTTGATTAAAGCTAGGTAGTTACTGCATCATCTACCGATTTGAAATTCTTCAGGATAAGAGACTCCTTCCAATTAATATCGCGAAACAGGACGTACATTTTAAGAAAATCTGCTTTTTTGAAATTGAAGTTGGTTAATTTGGTAATTCGCTTAGCTGGTCTATGGTCTTTGTAGACTAGGTATATATTTCTAGTGCAGGATGAAGTGGATTAATTTTATCCAGTGAGTCGACAGCAGATTTAATTTCCGCGTTTAAGTTAGTTAAAATTAGGTCAAGGGTTCTATTATTGCAGTTTTTAACCGTATTAATGAGTTTTAAGTTGTACATCGAAGCTATATTTTTAATTACTTTGCATTTAGCACTCGCGTTCTCGAAATTATACGTGGCGTCAACAATTTGTGGTAGGTTAAAATCGCCTGCTATTAAAACTTCCGATGAATGCAACATGTTTTCAATTGTTTCTAAACTTTTGGTAAAATATAAAATATAAAATTTGGGTCTAACCCACAACTGGGTCTAACCAATATCGCGTCCGAGTCTGTTGGATAACAGGTATCAAGTACCTACTATAATGTAATATATCTTTTAAGGACAAAATAATCCCAAAACATTACAGAAATTGGAAAAAATAAAAATTTCCGAAATTCTATGAAACATCAAAGATAAAGATTCAGAAGAATTCAAGCGCACACAAAAATTTAAACCACCCCTCAGATCGATTCGGACATTCTTGTGTGAAGGATTTTAAAGAAAACTGTAGCACAGTGTGCTTATTGATGTGTAGTGTACCAAGCAACTTTGAAGTGAACTATAATCTGTAATGATTACATATTTTTAACTTATAAAGTAGTTGCCAATTACGAAATGACGCACACGAGTGATTAAATAACTGAATGAAAAGTTTCTCTCAGAGAATTTTCCTTTTATGGCGTTGTGCGTAATTATCGACGGGAGATAGTAAATGAAGTGAACGAAAATGATGATGAAATTAGTAGCGATGAAAATCAATGTTGTTTATAGATTTCCTATTTTCTATAAATTTTGATTAGCTATCGTTATCAATCGACTGTGAATAATTTAATTACAGAAATGGCTGTGTTTGCTTTATTACGCATTGGAATCCCATTATAATACGACATTCGAAGTATAAATCACCTAAATAATGATTTAAGGGAGTAACATTGTCATTATTAATTTATTACACCGCAAAGTAAGCTTCGTGCCACTGAGAATTAATTGCAACGGATTTCATAAAACAAGCATTGAAATGTAGGTACAATGTACTACAGGTACGTAATCTTTAACTACTCTAGCTAGAACGTAAGCTTTGTTTTAGTAATTACAGCTCGATATCAATAACTCAAAACAAAAGATTTTTAATGGGTTGTAAGAGGTGATTAACATGTAAAAATGTGACTATATACTTACATTTAACAATAAAAAAATTTTAAACAAACAATTTTCGTTAACAGAACCCAGACTAAATTTAAAAATTTTCATAAAAAAAGTGTTGGGATCTTAAGAATATATTGAGAAAGATGAATATTAAAAAGAGAAAGGTGGGATATCTATACTTTAAAAAAAAATGTCATTGCATGGAATAGATGGCTATAGGCCACCATTACACGCGACAAACGAGAGTTTCTAAAATTCTTTCTCTCTTCGAGAATTTAATAATTAAAAACTAAATCCCCAACGTTCCTTCAGAAGAGATTTTGTCATTTAAAAGTAGACATAGGGAAAAACAATATACGTAAATCTCTGTCTACTTCTTAATAAATAGCACTGTATATGTATGTAATGCAGGTAACGTTGAATAAGAAATAGTATGCTTAATTTTCCTTTGGGATCAGTGATGGGTATTCACAAAACTCCTTGCATACTTACCCCTCTAATAACTAAATTAAACAAAATCGCCTGTTAAAGTACCGTTCCTACTAGACAATCCATTTTCACTCGACAAACTTTACTGAAAACTGGACGTGTTTTGATACAATGTGTTAGCAAATAAACAATGCCTAAGGGTTATTTATTTGGCCAAAATCTACAACCCGTAGTAATTACAAAACCTGTCTAACCCGCTTGGAATTTCCTATACCAACTCTAAATTTGATTGTACCCGACGACTGTATTCATTTTACCTTTACAATTAAACAAATATTAGATTAAATTAAATTGCATCGGAAGTTCTATAATCGAAATTTAATTACTTGTGCACTATCCCAACGATACAAATTCATTCGTTATTAATAGCTATTAATGTATCAAGGGAATTAAGATGCGGTGAATACCCGCGAGAAACATGTAATTCTCGAGGCCGTAGGCCGAGAGAATTAGTTTCTCAAGGGAATTTGCCGCAATTTAATTCACGTGATGCATTCATAGTTTTATTTCATACTGGTTTTAAATATTGAAACGAATAGGAAAAGAATAAAATGATAAAATGATGAATAAAATTTTCGAATAGTGGGTGTTGCATCGTTGTCTTGGTGATGTATTTGTTTGACGTTAAAATAAATACGTTAATTGAGTTTACCTATTCTTCGAATTTCCGAGTTTACGATTTGGAAGATCCCATGGAATTTGAGGAAAACTTTTCTGAGGATGTTCTCAGTGAAATTGCGCAGGCTGAAGAGTGTTTGGTTCCCATAAAATCTAAAAAGGCATATAAGAAGGAATTTGACCGGTTTTGCACGTGGCGACGAGAAAAAAATGTAACAGGAGCTTCTGAAAAAGCTCTTCTTGCCTATTTTTCGGAACGATCCAAGATATGTAAACCATCCTGCCTGTGGACGTATTATTCTATGGTGAGAGCGATGCTGCGTTTGCATGAAAAGATTGACATTTCTAAGTATGGTATCTTGATTTCGTTTTTAAAAGCGAAAAATGTAGGATATAAACCAAAGAAGTCACAGGAGTTGAGTCGAGAACAAGTAATCGAATTCCTCCAGCGCGCCCCCGATGAAAAATATTTATTCGTGAAGGTGAGTGCAATCAAAAATATTTCCACGTTTTTTGGTTGATTTAACCGTTTTTAGGTGGTAACTGTATTGGGAATAGCTGGTTGTTGTCGGACATGCGAGCTAGTAAATTTAATGGTTGGTGATGTTGAGGATAGAGGAACTGTTTTCGTCGTAAATTTGGTGGATACAAAAACTCACAAAGATCGTTATTTTACTGTTATTGATGAGACTGCGGTGGATTGTCTTGGTATTCTTAGAGCTTACATCAAATTGCGCCCTCCCAACGTTCCACACAACAGATTCTTTTTGAATTATCGCAATGAAAGGTGCACTACGCAACCAGTGGGGAAGAACTCATTTTCAAAATTACCCTGTGAAATTGCCAAATTTTTGAAGTTGTCGAATCCCTCTGGTTACACGGGGCATTGCTATAGAAGAACTTCTGCTACTTCGTTAATTGAAGGAGGGGGCGATTTGTGCAGTCTTCAAATGCATGGGGATTGGAAGTCTTCAAAGGTTGCTCAAAGTTACGTTGATCAATCGATGCCGCGAAAAATGGATGTTCAAAAGAGGATTTTTTCAACAGTTACAGAAAAAGCTTCCACTTCGGTTACGACTGATATAGGTTGTATGGTAACTGGTAGCAGCCAACATCTTTCTTCTGTTTTCGCGAACTGCACGTTTAATCATTGCAAATTTGATATGGGTGGAAATTGCAACGATCTTAATGCTAGTGTCGATGTAACGAAGTGTGATAACATTGAAAATTAACGTGATCTAGTTAAGATTATGTCAACCCCGCCATGAGGGAATTAAGTAGCCTCGAATTCCCGTTGCCAATGACAGCGGGAATTCAGACGTTGTTTATTTTGTTTAAAACAAAAATGTTATGTAGTAGTTAAGATACCAGTATGAAATAAAGTTAATAATCATGTCATCAGACGCTAGTAGTGAAAAAAGTTAATTTCTAACGAACAACAGTCATCATATTATCATCAATCATATTATTATATTATTTATAATATATAATACTTATACTGTGCTATCTAAAATTATTCCCACTTTCTTCCGAACCAGATAAAGAAATCACAAAACCCTACCATAGCATGTTTGGATAATTATTGTTGAATTTGGGAAAGTGGTGCTGTGGTCATTATTAATTCAAAAAATTCAAATGGCAAAAGAGGTATATTAATTTCCTATTCAACGGCATTATTCCTCCTGTTTCGGTGTTCTGAAGAATCACGTACACCTCGGAGTGGGGTAACGCAGGTTACCCCAGCTTAAATTTGTCTGCTAACAACTGAACCTGATTTATTTCTTTTCTGTTTACATGTTAACCAGCGACAAAAAGCGAGTTCATGATTTTGGACTGTCCGTCCGTCCATCTGTGTAACTTTGTGCGCTTGTGTATGTATGTGTATGGGAGGGGGGCCTCAAGACTGCAAACGTAGGTACACGGGGACGAAATGGGCCTTGGCTCATCTGTGAAGGAGTGGGAGAGTTTTATACCAGACGGAACAGTTATAAAATCTTTTGAGACCGGTAGACAATGAAAAGCACGGGATTTATATTATTTGCACAGAATAATAATAAAATAATAATAAATGATGAGTATTTGGGGATACAGCCGAAATACGCCAATTTTCAACTGGCGCTCGAGCCCGAACGGTTCATCGAGGAAAAAAACTAAATAGTGGGGTCTGTAGGAAATTTTAAGTACTTTCATTTTGAATAGGGAGGTTATTTTCGAAAAGTTGATAGTTTTCAAGTTGTAAGCACAAAACTGCCAAAAAAATATCTTTTTCAACTTCTTTTGTATTTTTTTCAATGTTGTGTCATGAAATTTTGTTGGCAAACCTTAGATTCGGATTCAGCACCACAAAAAACATGTAGAATCAAAGAAATCAAAACTACCCCACAACTTTCCCGCTAGATGCCCGTTTGAGCACAAATGGCCTGTATTAATAGGCAACTAACATTACACGCGACAAATGAGAGTTGCCTTTAAAATTCTTTCTTGGCCAAAGCATTGTTCAAATACTTTAATCAAAGAGTATCCATAATAAGAGATTCAACGGCATAGAGAATAGTGTTGCATATGTATTCTGTGTTGCCTAACAAATGTTACTGCTTTTTCTCAATTTTATTGGCGTACGCTACGCCTAAGGGGCTATTTCAAGGCAACTACTTGTTTAGAAGTTTACAAATATCATTGCACAAATCCCAGCGTTGCCAAATGTTTAGTGTTTGCTTGTACTTATTTAGGTATCTATTATTCCTTGAAATGTATGATGTTTGAGATATGTTATTCCATTCTACGCTTATGGCACAATTTATTAAGGTCCGAACGCTTGTTGGTTTGATTCATAGGTGCGAAGATATGTTCTTCATGTAACAATAAGCCGTTTATTGAGCGGTAATTAATAGATTTTTTAGTGTGTATTGTGTATTCCCAGTAATCGCGAGTAATAAGCTCGCTTTGATTACGTCTCTGCCCTTTGTACACACTGTTCGTCGCCCTACCGTCGACGGACGTATGGAAAAGTCGACCGAACTATATAGATCGTTTAGTTAGAGGAAGTAGTCTAACGAACGATATTTACTTCCGACTTGCGCGGAAATAAACGAACATTTTTTTAAAAAAAAGGGCAATAGACGTTTTATAGCATTTATTGTACAAAAGATAATGAAAGATTCCCGGAAAAAATGTTGCAATCACTTTTTAATTTTTACCGGCCAAACTATAAACAATATAATAAATCCAAAATAAACTGCCTCAATTGGATTATAGTTGTGATCGAATCGTTAAAATCAGTTAAAAATGTGAACTGTGGACCAACGCAACCCCTGACGCAACCCCACCTCTTTAAAAATGGTTTCTTTGCGATAACTGAAAAACTACTTGACCGATTTGGACCATATTTTTTACCAGTCGATGTGACTAATGTCCCCTTTAATCTCATTACATTTCAGTCCGATCGACCCACGCCTTCCGGAGATATTTAAACGCTCCAGAAATCCTATACTTGGAGTGGAAGCCAATGTTGTTTTCAAAAATGAGAACATACACTGCATTATCAATCGTTTAGATGGATGAATCACTAGCAGAATGCGCAGTGCCTTAAGTTGAGCGGCAAATTTAAATACATATACTTATGTGTTTTTCCGCTACTAACCAATGGTGACAAACATGTGTACGACGCTTAGTTGCTAGGAGACCGATGCGCGCTAGTGCTGCAGCTTAAAATGCGGGTCGAGAGTATTTTTTTTATTGAATTGTTTAAATGAGAATAACGTGTAAATATTTAATTAAATTTATTCGACGGGTGCAGATTTATTAATTTATTATTTAACTGCACTATATATTTTGACTGATTATTCGATTAGACTGATGTTTTTTTTTCTGAGGACATAAGGATTATTGCATTGTAATGATTGATTGTTAATGATTAAACAACTCAGCGTATGTAGGCATCTATACAAAATTAAAGCAAACAAAATTTCCTGTAAAACAATCGCTATGCTCATCATAAAATCCAATTTTATGAAATATGTTGTCTACTTTAACTTTACTGTAGTAGACTATCTAAAAAGGATGAATAATAACAAATTTAACTTACATTTTTACAATTTTATTGTACCTGTTTTGGTTATTAAATTAAATAGTAATTACTGTGTATTCAATAGACGCCCACTAAACAGGAAAATACCAATGTAATTAACAATAGGTACTGATGCTGATTTCTTTTATACTTAAGTAATGTTTTCTAATTATATCATGTCCACATTTTATACAGCCAATAAGAAAGAAAATTAAATGTGACAACCGCGCAAATATTTTAAACCGAAATTCTATAAAGAATTCTGTAAATTTTCAATACGCGCCAATATTTAAAGAGGCGGTTAGTTCTGGCCACCTCTACGCGAGGGCCCGCTTTTGGAATCCTAGCGGGCGAGTTCTTATAGCCAACACGCGTTTATACCATTGCGCTGTATCTCTTATTAATTTATTATGGGTACTCTTTGCTTTAATTTAAACAATGTTTCGAGTGCTCCCGAATGGTCTTGAACATTCTATAACAAAACACATCACATTTTCCGGAAAGATTACATCACAACCGCGTTTGTTCTTTATCGCCGATTACTAATCTTTTATGGCGCCTCGATATCTATCGGGATTTTTGGAATATGCGCTACATACTTTCTTACTATATTAGGAATTTTTTCAATTTATGTTATATCGTGATCGTTTGATCTTAAAAATAGAAAACTCCGTCGGTGTTTTACATCCGTGATTCGTCAGTCACTAAATTTGAGTAATTTTGCGCCCCTTCTTGTCTGCCCCGTAAGCGGAGGGTTACATCGCTTACACATATATAAAGCCGGTCCCGGACATGAATATAATTAATTTATTCTGTATTGAAGAATAAAAAAAACATACGGGATGTTTTATTAAAAAGTTTGGTAGGTAGATGACGGCAATTACAGGCCAAACCGGAAGTCACAAAAAATAAATTGTTCTTTTCAAAAATTTGCAGATAATTGCTCGTTGCGGGATTTTGTGTGTACAACAAATTCTGTATTTTGCTTAGTCTACTTGCGCAATCCTTGAAGATTGCCCCAAAAAGCATTGTTTATTTAAACAATGCCCAAAGATTTTAATTCCAAGTAAGTAGTGTGATAATTTCGCATAACTTATATCGTTGCAAAAATTTCTTATTTTCAGCCGTATGCCATTATTTGGTCACCCGGTACGTCACTGCTGCTTTCCAACAGACCCCCCTACTCCATTTTTGTTACGCACCTTCTACATATTAACTTATTCTTAATGTCTGCTATTAAAATTGTATGAAGGAAAGTGTCACAAACTGCTGACGCACTCGTGGCCCAAAATAATTTTCGAAATCTGGATATGTTGTTTATGTAATAAAACATTTTATACTAACAGAAAATAATTTATTATTACAGTCTTAATAATAAAATATGTACAAAATCAATCACAGTCAAGTAGGTACCCACACTAAAATGCTTTAATCGACTTCTTCAATCGTTGGGCCTTGCGTGTTAAATCGCCCCGCTTGTTGACCACAGTTTCCTGGCATAGGTCCATTTTGCTGTCCCACACCACCTGATGCGTATAACTTGGACATCATTGGGCTGCATAAATTTGTAAGCTGTTTCTGTTGATCTTCGTACTCCTCTTTCTCCGCAAGTAAGTTATTGTCCAACCATTTTAAGCATCCAGCACATGCACTTTCCACTGTTTGTTTATCTTCTGCTGATAGTTTATCACCAACGTCACTAAGCGCTTGTTTTAAATTGAAAACGTAACCTTCCAGTTGATTGCGGGCTGCAATTCGGGCTCGTTGCTTTTCATCCTCCTCTTTGTATTTCTCAGCATCCGCCACCATTTGGTCGATGTCTCTCTGCGATAGACGGCCTTTGTCGTTCTTAATTGTAATTTGTTGCGATATTCCGGAGCTGGTGTCCTTGGCGGAAACGTTTAGTATGCCGTTAGCATCCATGTCGAAGGTAACTTCGATTTTGGGAACACCTCGCGGTGCTGGTGGAATTCCGGACAAGTCAAAATTGCCAAGTAAATTGTTATCCTTTGTCATGGCTCGTTCGCCCTCGAATACTTGAATCGTAACTCCAGACTGATTATCGGAGTTGTGAATGTTTGGGTTTGCTTGCATGGGATGCGAGAGTTGCGTTCGATGATTTTCGTCATGACACCGCCGGCAGTTTCGATGCCCATGGAGAGGGGAGTGACATCGACCAGTAGAACATCTTGTATTTTATCGCTTGTGTCGCCGCTAAGGACTGCTGCTTGCACTGCTGCACCATAAGCAACAGCTTCATCTGGATTTATTGATAGATTCAACTGCTTGCCACAGAAATAATTTTGCAGAAGCGATTGAATCTTTGGAATTCGAGTAGAGCCACCGACAAGTACAACATCGTGAATTGATCCCGCCTTGTCCATTTTTGCATCTGCGAGTGCTTTCTCAACGGGTTGTAGTGTTCCACGGAATAAATCGGAGCACAATTCTTCAAAGCGAGCTCTGGAGATCTTCGTGTAGAAATCGATACCATCAAATAAAGCGTCAATTTCTAAAGTTGCCTCGGTGCCGGATGACAATGTTCGTTTTGCTCTTTCCGCAGCTGTACGCAGACGACGTAAAGCTCTCGGGTTGTTACGTATATCTTTCCTATATTTCTTTTGAAATTCTTCGACAAAGTGGTCAACTAGACGGTTGTCAAAGTCTTCTCCTCCGAGATGAGTGTCGCCAGCAGTAGATCGCACTTCAAACAACGAGCCTTCGTCGATGGTAAGTATGGATACATCGAAGGTGCCACCGCCCAAATCAAAAATGAGAACGTTGCGCTCACCTTTGAGGTTTTTATCCAGGCCATAAGCAAGAGCGGCGGCCGTAGGTTCGTTGATAATTCTCAAGACGTTTAATCCGGCTATAACACCAGCATCTTTTGTAGCTTGCCTCTGGGAGTCGTTGAAATATGCCGGTACAGTAATAACGGCGTCTTTGACTGAGGTGCCCAAGTAAGCCTCAGCCGTTTCTCTCATTTTCGTGAGTACCATTGAACTTACTTCTTCTGGGGCGAATTTTTTTGTTTCGCCCTTAAAATTAACTTCCACTTTCGGCTTACCCCCATCACTTATCACCTTGAAAGGCCAGTGCTTCATGTCTTGTTGGATTTTTGGATCGTCGTATTTTCGGCCGATGAGTCTTTTCGCGTCGAAGATGGTGTTGTGGGGATTCATGGTAACTTGATTTTTGGCCGCATCGCCGATGAGCCTTTCGGTGTCTGTAAAGGCCACGTAACTTGGCGTTGTTCTGTTTCCTTGGTCGTTGGCGATGATTTCCACCTTTCCATTTTGCCACACGCCTACGCAGGAGTAGGTCGTACCCAAATCAATTCCAATCGCTGGTACTTTAACCATTTTTTCTTCAAAATATCACGAATAATTTCTTATTCACACTTATAGTCACAATAAGTACGCACAAATGTATCGTTAGTTTATATGTTCACTCGCTCAAGTTTTGAACTGTTATGAAGTTGCGCGCCTCGAAACGCTTATATATGCGGAGGCCGATTGTTCACGAGCGGTCTCGAACTTTCTAGAACGTCTATAAAATGTGATTGATGGAATACGAAACGCGCGCCTAGCAAATGCAGGAATATTCTAGAAATATGGAATGAATTATTTCTTCTCATGATTTGATCCGCTTGTCACAAGAACGAAATGTTTCTATAATTTATATACAATTTCATATCCTTCGCATTTTAAAAACCATGTTTCTAGAATACTGAATTATTTTCGAGGCGCGCGTTCAAGAATGTTCGGGAACAAAATGACCATAATAGCATATACAGGGTTAGGAAAAATTACCAGAACGGTCGATTGTATATAAGAATTGTGTAGGGCTGTTAAAAATGTAGGTACATATCTGTGATAAACTGAAATATACCGGCTATATTATTTTAAATGCAACACCCTGTATATTACTAGTTATTTTGATTGTTGACTTACTACTTAAATTCGTTTCCAGATATCATATTTTGATCAGTTACAAAGCACAAACTAAATTTCAAGAAACAATTACAAAAACGTATAACAAAGCCTGGCAAAACGGCTCTATTTTATAATGGATGTTGAAAATGACTCCCATTACTCCAACTCACAATGATACAAGTTATTTGTTGCTCTGATATCAAATCTATATTGAGCATTTCTAGAAGATCCAATTATGAGAGTCAACCTTATAGGAAATAAATATAATGCCACTTGTTTGGTAAAACTTTACATTATTCTAACTTGTGGTGATTGATTAACTTGTTTCTAATGACATCAACATCATATATCATCGATTCCTTCTTGTCCTACCATCTGATCTCTGATAATCAACATGAATTAAAATAATTTTTGTTTATTTATAGGACGAACAAATATGGAACCTATATATGAGAATGTAGAGGATATTAAAAAAGAATTGAACGAGCATACCATTACAGAAAGCCAGTTTTAAAACATGCAAGATTAATCACGAAATTTTTCAGCTACAAAACTTGGCTGTGATTTTTATATGTAGGAAGGTAACATTAATTGTTTAACACATAATAACGCTTTCAGTATTTGTTTCCATGTAGTTTGTAATATTATTACGAGAGAAAAGTCGTATGAAGTTTGTTACAAATTGATGAGAGTAGGTACCTATATTTATTGTTAAAAAATTGAGTACATACAATCTATTTTAATGTATTTATTGTAAATAAAGTGCAGAATATATTTTTAATAATGTAGTTTGTTATGTTAAATGTAACCCAAAGTGTTTGTGTACTTTCTTGAACTGGTACCAAAAGGGTAACCATTGTTTAATGGTGCCGTCAAACCTTTGTTGTACCTACTCCAGAATTTGAGCGACCGTCTGTTTCTTTAAAGACGACTTCTACTATCAAAATGAGCCCGACACAATCTGCTAAATTTGTTACCTACACTCCTCACTCTTCTGTGATGACGTCTTTGCCGTTGGATGGATCTTGAACGATTAGCATCTCATAGATCTAGCCAACTAATTTTACTTTTACTGGAGCAACTGCCAACTGGCCTTGATTTGAAGTGAATTCTTCTGTTCTTGCATTGCATCCACTTCTGAAGTGCAGTTAAGTATACCTGTCGACCAGTACCCTCGCTGCGTTCCATTTACGTTGTTTCTGTGCCATTTTGCAATAATGTTCGTTTCGAGTCGCGCAACCAACACCGGTCAAGTTATTTCACTGAAATTTTGACATTTGATTCTACTACTAAAACCTAACGCTCATGTAAATTCAGCAATGGGGGCATCCTGGTTTCATTTTTTGTTTCTGATCTATAAAGTACATTAAAAATAAAAAGACCCGTGTGTCCTCAATTTTTGTTTGCGAGTAAAATAAACCCAAAATAAATTATTGAAAAGCTGTGTTTAAGTCCGAATTTGAAACGCTTCAGTCTAAATACGTCACGAACCTACAACCAATCACGTAGAAGTGAGCTGGCAACCTTGCGCGAGAGTCTGACGTTTTTTCGGATTTGACGTTTATGATTTTGTTTACCTTTTTTAACAGCTTTTTTAAATTTTGCTTTGGGGTTTATATTATATTATTTAGGCCTACGTGAGACCGCGATGGCTTTTGCAAATGGCGGACAGTAGTTTCCTGTTCCAGTGGCGTAGCTACCTTACACTTGTAGAAGAATACAATTATAAAGAATTTTACACGAAAACAATCTAAACCTCCATGTGTCTACTCCGCCTATGACTTTTGTTTAACTAACCTCAAACTACATTCCGATAAAAAATTTGTAAATTGACATGTACTATATAAAAATAATATTGGTATCAATACTTACACATGAAATGTAATTCCCAAACTTTTATTTTTTTCCGTTTTGGAGCAACCACAAGCACAACAACTAACCATTATTTTATGTCACTGCAAAAACTACAACAAAAGTGAGTCATAAGTGGATTTTGCAAATGGTCGACTTCTGTCCCACTCTCTCTTGTATACAACCTGAGTAAGTTATACCATAAACGTGAACCTAAGTAATGCTCCTGGTATTCTTTATTGTTTAACTGCATCTAACGCGAAAGTGAACGACAAATGACAGTGACAGGTGACGTAAGTTACAAATGACATTCTCCTGCAATATTCTTTGATTATATACTTAATCCACAGCCGTCTATAATTATTATAATTAATTAATAATATATATATATATATATATTATATATAATAATATATAATTAATTATAGACGGCTGTGCTTAATCAAAGGGAATATTGCCCAGTCGATATGTCATCTGAATGGTTCTATGCTGATTGGTCGGGCTTATTACGTCACAGAGCCCGCCACAATCATATCGTTTTGAATAAACCCTTAAAACCGCACGTTCATTATTTTTTTGCTAATCAGCCTCTTTTTTAAAATAAACTTTTACTGTCCAAAAAAATGTTTTATGGTTTCAGGTACACGCTCATTAAATTAGAACTGCCGAATTAAACTATACTGTACACCCCCATTCAGTGCATAGAATCAAGCCCTCCATTTAGTATTGACGTAAATCCCATACTTACAACAATTCCGTAATTTGTGACATTACCTCTGAAAAGTATCATACAATGCCTAGTAAGTCAGAAAGACAGTGATAGACGATAAAAAAAAACCAAGTCAGTCAAATAATACATGTCTACATTAATACCATATTTGTTTATTAAAATTTATTTAACAAGTACATAATACTGAACACAGTATAGATGATCAAAACTACACTGTTTAATACTGACAAAAATAGGATCTTGCAAAAGTTGTTCGCAAACAATTAAAAATCACACTTGACAAAGTCGATGTAGGAATATAAAATTGAGTATCATGGCAGTAACTCTAGTTATTCACTAACCTTAAAAATTTACTTATGCTACTAATTTCAAAATACTAATAAATTTATTGCATAACATTAAAAGGCGTACAAATGGAAAAGTGTGACATAGTTATCAATCGAAACGGTAATAAAAGTATTGAGATTTTCACAGTTTCTCGACACTGTCAAAATGACTACTTATACTGCATGTTATAGCTGCATCACATCCAACATCTTTAGACGTACCATACAGTTTTTTGTTATAGAATTCAGTCTTATTTTCAGTGAGCTATACAGGTTGTTTCTCGGGGGTCTGTTAGAAGTGTTTTATATTTAAGATGAATCTATGGCGATGGAGGCCATTTTGAAATACTGGCCAAAATAAGGTCTGATAGGATTACCAGTTTCACTTGGTCCAGACGCAGCAAATAGGACTGCCAACCGTGAAAGAACTGGATTGGCTCATAATGTAGAAGACATGGCAAGCCTAAAACTGGTGGGTGTGAAGCTGTATAAACCAAGCTAGTTATTTTGCTAATCAAAATATGACCAATCCATACTAATTTCACAATCTATGGATTGTATGGCAAAATTATAACTTTTCTGTACTATACAAGGTCAGGTGTTGCCGAGACTCTTTGGTGACGAATAAAAGATATTGACAATTTCATTATATTAAATTCAGTGATGAAACGCAAACAGCAATTCATCCAGGAATTAAGCTATCAAAAACAGAAAAACAATAAAGCATCAACATGTGATTCGAGAAACGCATCACTATGTACACTATAATCATTAGAAGTTATTAGGAATGAGTTTACATAAGAACACCCTGTATGTAAAGTAGGAGTTTTCTGTTTAAGTACATGTATAAAGTATCAATACTGCCAAAGTCTCTTATAAGTAAATGTACTAAAATACTTAAATATATGCATCCATTTGTCGTAGATTCGATGAAAGTTCCTCATCTGTCCATAATTTAAATATTCCTAAATAGTAAACGAGTAATTTGAAACAAGGCATTCACAATCGTTGCAGTCTTAAAATTGAAACAGTAGCTCCTGAAAACAAAAAAATTCAACATACAAAATTGGGCGTTAATTACACTACACCATATGGGTCGGACTTTCGGTACTGTTAACTGACTGTTAATTTTAGTGGAAACAAATGCAATAACTAATTATAAATTAAGGTGTACACAATATTCCAATTCAAAAAATTTTAAAAATCAGAAAATTAAATCAATTGGTAAATTCCGAAAAACATTAAAATTCACACAACATTTTGAAGAGAATTAGAATCACAAAAAATTTAGAAGAATCGGAAAAAATTAAAAAAAAACTGGAATCCAAGAAGATAAGCAATTCATAAAAATTCGGTTCTCAAAAATTCAAAATATCCGCACAAAAGTTCAAAGTTGTTTTATTAAAATTCCATAAATTCAGAAATTTAATAAAAATTGAAAAAATCTAGCGAGTGTACATAGAAGGTCAAAATTGTTTTCACAGAGAAATAAACCATAAACGATAAAATTCAAATCGGAAAATAGAAAATTTGCCAAATTTTGTCCGAATTTACGAAACTTTCGGATTTGTAAACTTTACAAATTTTTTTATTTAATTCCCTTCTGATTTTTTAAAATTCCTCTGAAATTACCATTACTGAATTTTCCGAATTTTGTAGGAAACTTCCAGATTTTATGTTTTCCGAATTTTTATTAATCATTTGTTTTACTGAATTTTAAAAAAATTTTCAATTTGTGTAATCCGAGGTGTAATCACAACTATATAGTTCGAGGTATAATTGAGCTTTTTCAGTTATATTCAGAATCCTTAACTCTCTTCGGATTTTAATTTTTTTGAATTGACCGAGTGGCTTGAATTTTTGAATTGCTTAATATAAGTTTTTTAATTTTTCTGTGCACTTACCTAGGTGCAAAAGGTCTATATCACATAAAAAATTTACTTACCGTTTCCTTTCACAATGAAACGCTATTGTTGTTTAATCACATTGTGGGAATTCATCCACGGAGGCATATCTCTTTTAAGATGTGGATCCATATTTGATGGTATCATACCATGGTGATGTAGTGGCATCAGTTCTTTCCTATGATTCAGCATCACAGGTACACCGTGTGGGACGGGGGCATGTACAGGCGGAATTATATGATTCTCGTGCACATGAATTGCCATCGGAATTACCCTTTCATTTAGATGTTGGTTAATGGGAGGCTGTAGATGATTAGTTGGGACAGTGCACTGTACATGTGGAATTGGTGCAACTTTTTGTAAGACGTTTTCCCCCTCAGGTATTTTACTACTGCCTCGCATTGTTAAATTATTTTCTTGCTTGACCGTCTTTTCTGCTAAGATCGATTTATTACCGTTCTTTTCATAATAGAAACCCATGTCGAACATAAGTCGCCTTAAGGTCATTAGAGAAAAATTGGGCAGATGATTATCCGCATTTACATGCTTTAAGATAGTATTTAATGATGGCACAATGTTTCGGTATTTTAAATCATAAATTATATTGCGAATCGTTTGGCGTACATTATTGTCATATTTAATATCTCTACTATTAATATTAATATTCTTTCTTATTTTCGTCTTTGATGGCTCTTTAAATCCCTCCACGCTTGCCTCTTCTTTACGAAATTGAAATATACTCTTTTCGCTGCAGCCAGTTGCCTTAGACGTTCGCCGAACGATATCCGTAACGCATTTTTCGGGAAAGTTAATACGAAAATATTTAAACACGTTTAAAATGATTGTTTTTTCTTTGCAGGAATACGACATTCCCTGTTTCATTTTCTTTATTTCGAGTTGTGACATTTTATCAATTAAACTAGTATTAAAATATCGACAGTCACGAGAGACAAGACTTTAGATTTTTAATAAATATATAAAAATGTTCAAATTTGTACTTAAAAATATTTAAATAAATGATTTATGAACGTTATTCAAACTAACCTAAAAAACAAATCAAATACAAGATACAACCCAGAGACATCCATGTCTCTGATACAACCAGACGAAACTGATTTGTTGGTATGTTAGACACAACTGCTATCGTGGTCTGTGACTATTATACAGGGCATTTATTTATTTTCAGCATCCAGTCTGGTTTGAAGAAAGTAACAGAAATTTAATAAAAACAAAAACGCAAAGAATTTTTTGCAACCTACTGTAGTGTACTTAACCCCTAGGTTCTACGCTAACTTCCCTCCAAAACTAAACAAGATTCCGTTTAAATTTGAAAAGTGGCACGTGATCAAACATCTAAGGCAGGGCTCCCTTACGTTAGTTGTAAACCAAACCACGCTATGACCGAAGCACAGTAGGGAAGGAACGTAAAATAAAACACTCAAATTGTGAAAAGTTGTTTAATAATGATCGCAATTATTATTGATTGTAAAAGCTCGGAAATTTAAGTCGAAAAAATTTACATTGCAAAAATAAACTTTGAAAATGGTAGTTCACCGAATAAAAATAGAAATAAGAACTTACCAATAAAAAAACCAGCCGTCAAATTAATATCAAATTGTGTTGTAAAATTAATTGTTTGTAATGATGTGAATGCGTAACATAAAATTATAATATCAGAAAAAGTAGCAGGTAGACTTCAAGAGGTAACATATAGGTTAAAAACAAGTTTTGGGAATTATGGCTCAGGTAAGCAGGTACCAAGATTCTAAGAAAGGGTGAAATACACAGGATGTGGCTCATCTTTGGTGCAATAAAGTCCTTTTGTTAAAAGCAAGATGGAAAATTACATGGCATTGTAGGTAAATTTAACTAAAAACAAGATATGTGGAAATTACGAATCGTAACTCATTTATCTCACATAGATTCTAAACTGAAGAGTTTTGATTAGTATGATCTCGCCCCCGCAAGATAGGTAGCGTCGCCCCTCGTTCGGGGTTTCGAGCCTACAGTTGAATCTCGAAGACAATCACGGAATTAGGTGTATTATGGCAGACATACAGTTGAATTCACATGAGCCAAAAATTTGAAATTGGTTCACAAACTATAGTGATGCAGGGCTCACCTTTCGTGATTTTGACTGTACCTGTCAAGAAGAACATTTTCATCAATGAATGCATTTATTTCTAGTCTCTGTGGATACCGCCCTATGGGAATGCTCTCAATAAGCCACCCTGTATAGTGTATAGGGATTCTGTAGTAGTCCAGGGACTTTACGTATACGTATTTAAAGTTCCTACTTTCCTAGGGATTTTGCAGTAAAAATACTGAAAGGTCAAAAGTATTTTGTAAAATATTTTCAACTTTCAAAAAATTCAAACAAATGAATGACGATAAAGTTGAACAAATTAACGAACTGGAAGCGTTAAGCGCAATTTATGGTTCAGAGTGGCACGAGCAATTTGAAATCGACAATTGCTATTATATCTGTGTTGGGCCAGATGTACAACTGTCGGTGACACTACCCCTTGATTATCCATCCAAGAGACCCCCCTTGTATGAATTACTAGCACCGACTTTAACCAAAGAACAAAAGGCGCATATTTCTAGAGAATTTGATGAAATTTATCGGTATGCGGCCAATAATGTCCGCGTGTGGTTCTTAATGTGTGTTGTTACAGTACAAATTGTGGAAGCCCCGTGTTATTTCAATGGATTGAAAAACTCAAAGAGATTGTCCACTTATATGTCAAAGAAATAAAAAACACTACCAGTGAGGAAGTAGTTAAAGAAGCGGAGCCACCAACGAAGTTGCTTAATTTTAATATCATACACGGAACTACCGTGGAAGATCGCAAGAGTATATTTCAAGGCCACACTTGCACCATTCACGCAGCACAAGATGTAAGAGATGTTACAGAATTGTTGCTGCAAAACAAAAAGATCTCACATGCCACACATAATATTACAGCGTATCGGATAACGACACCTAATGGCAACATACTTCAGGTTATTTGTGAATGTCCGTGAATGCTGTTGTCAAAGTAACTAGTTTGCCTTACGGAGGGTCGTTATAGGTGCTCCACGACTCTTAAGTTGTAAAACACGTAGCTTTGGTCTCTAAAATTTAAATTACCTACTTAGAGTTTCAGGTAATTATCGAAATTATCCTTTGTCAGAGTAATTACAAAGACCTGTACAATACCTAATTATTCAAAATTTGATCAAAATTACAAAAATATATTGTAAAAAATGTGTGTTGTTTGTCATGGATAACTAGATTGAAATGAAAATATTTGAAGTATTTGACCTATATGACGCATTATGAACTTTTGTAGGTAGGTAATTAATAAGCTGCGATATAATATACAGGGGGTACAGTAGAAAAAATACACAATTTTGGTAATTTAACTGTGTTTCTAAATACACAACTAAGAAAGTCGGCAATAGTGCCGGCTTCATTTGAAACACACTGTAGAGGATTTTAATTTAGTTTCTTGAAAAATTCCAAAGAAAGAAAGTAAAGAGACTGCATGTTGGCTGTAAAGTACCTATAATGATGCGGCATAAACTAGTTACTTTGAGCTTAAGACTGTTATTAATCTTGTGTTACGCAGGACTGTGATGACGACGGTGAAACGCACGCAGGCGGCCGATTATTACATTTACTACAAATACTAAACGTAGTAAATGTGTATGTTATGGTTTCTAGATGGTGAGTAGAATTTAAATGGTCTATAATACGTAATACCTTTGTTTAAAGGTACGGAGGCATTCAGTTAGGGCCTGATCGGTTTCGGCACATTAATAATGCCGCAAGACAGGTTTTACAGGAAGCCAATTTTATACCGAAGAAAGATTAAATAAATTGTTCTCGCTTGTATAAAAATTTTAATATATTTTTTAACGTTTATGTTCGTTTGTGCGTAAAGCATCTCCGGCCAACTGTCTTCTGATGTTCCACACAGTTTCGTTGTCTAATTCTTCTTCGGCATTGAGAATTTTTTCGACTTCATCATCTGGTGGTAAAGCATCGGTTTCGATACACGTCGGTGGTTCGTACATTGAACTTCTAACTTTTGTTGTTATTTCATTTATATCCCATTTGTACAGGGGAACATTGCCAATGAGGATGGGTATTCCGGGAGTGTCTATATTTGGGTAACCGAATTGTTTGTAACGTGGAAGTGAACCTTGGATGGATAACCATACTTCATATATTACTTGACAACAGCTCGAACGATTGTACTGATTCGTGGGGTATGTATCACTCTCGGTCTCGAGTACTCCGAAAAATTCGTGTTTACCTCCAAGTATGTCCACCATACGAGCAACTCTGCATACATCTTTGCGGAACAATTTTACAGCTCTTGCTGGAGTTGTACTTCTGAAAGTAAGTTTATAGGTATAATTCAGCAAATATAGGTACGATCACTGACAAAAATAATGATAATCGTAAACTTAATGCCACTTAGGCAACCAACCATACACTATCTAAAATTGCAACGTGTGGGATGGGGCGCACGGCGTCGCGCATTGTCGTCTTTGCTTCGGCATTTCTTCGTCACTGTCTTGATACGCTACAGCCTACAGCAAGTATAAAATATATAAGTATAATTACAAGAATTGGTAAAACCTGATTTTATGCATTATACTTTGGACAAATTTTAGAGACATTAATAATAATAATGTTTATTCCCACAAAAACAACTAATAATAAACAAAAATAAAATAAAGAAAATAAGAATAATGTGGGAAAGTACTGCATTCAAGGTAGCAATACCCTGATCTTCCATGCAGCCGTGTCAAGCATAATAAAACAGCAACACACACAGTGAGTTTTTTTTAAATGCGAACATAGGAGTTTGCATGCAATGTAATTTCCCTATGTTCGATTTAAAAAAAAACATCAATCTATGAGATGTGCGCGGTTCACATTCCCAAAACGCGCAATTTGTGTGACTATGAACAGCAATTCATAGTCTTTATGATGAAGAGCACTCGGTAAGATTTTTTTAATTAAGCCATGTGAGGCCATAGCAACTTTAGGATAAATTTTTCTTAAACTTACGATAACTTGACTTCACATGGCACGCGCTGACATCACAATTCATTGTGAACCAACCTTCAATTATTTGTAGGCCATGTGCACCTGGTATTCTACTAATTTGCTTTATTTTATTCAATACATAAATGAAGAAAATAAGAAAATAAATAACGCAAACAATTACAATAAATGTTCGAAGTGTCCTCCTTGACATTCTAACGGACAGTTGCCGGTGGAATTCCGGGGACTTTTCGATACTAAACGATCACTTTGGTAATCAACCCCCCCCCCCCCCCCCCGCTTCCCCCACAATTAGGTCAGATTGCAATTGGGTTAGGTTAGATAGACGCGTTAGCTAAGGTCGCGATGTGTACGGGTCCGAGTGTCGTTCGAAAATTCCTCCCTCCCGAACCCACCGGTAGAATTGGAAAAAATACGTTAACATAATACCTAGGAGACCAGGTTTACCATTGTCGTACTGTTCGTTGGCGACAAAGAAGTCGGCGCACTTTTTAATTAGGGCCGGGTCAGCAATAACCTAACCGATTTCGTAATTAAATTGGACGACGGTATTTTTAAAATGTGACAGCTGTCAATTGTATCTACTACTCATTTGAACTACTCAATAGATTGATGTGTTTTTTTTAAAATCGAACATAGGGAAATTACATTGCATACAAACTCCTATGTTCGCATTAAAAAAAAATTCACTGTATGTATGAAAGTAGCCCACAATACATCTATCAACTAATTCATGAATTTGCCTATGGATTTAGTGATGAATTATTTCATGGATTTATTGTTCCGATACCTACACCATGAATGAACACTCGCCACGCATTAGGAAAGAAAAAAAATAAAAATAAGAAATGCTACAAAATCTATAATTGCAATGTATTTGATATTAGCATTGAATAATAAATCTATTCAATGATATTAGCAACTGGCACATTTTAGATACATTACACATTGGTATCTTCAATTTTGTTTTTCTCTTGATATTGTTGCTAGTATTTTGAACGGTTTTTTTATTGAGTATTTCTACATAATAAACAGGATGTTGTGTTTTTAAAAAAATGTGGGGTTATTTTCAGCCCAACTCGAAGTGAAAGAAATTGTTATTATGGCAAATGAGTCTTTTCCTTTTATTACTCTACATTTCATTGTCTTTTCACTCACTGAAACTGTGCATTCTATGTAAAAAATCTGCTGAATCCGAAAATCATAGTTTCCATGGCCGGAAACACTCGGAACAAATTGTTATAAACAAAAAAATGAACGAAAAATTCGAAAATGAATATGTCGGTTTTTTTTTGCATTTGACTTCAAATATCTCGTCAACTCTAAGGGAAAATTCGATTGATGCATTGTTCCATCGTTCTTTAAACGTGTTGTATGATGACGATTGGGAATTAAAGAAAATCTTTTTTAAACACGTTTTTTATTACTATTGCGGCTATCGATTTCGACCTTATCAGGTCATCTTCAGGCCTAGCGTCATTTGGTGAAGTGATGATGCATGTAATACTTTGACGATGTTATATATTATATTAGTTGTCAGGAATGACAAATTAAGTGTAATAAATAAAAAACGTGTTTAAAAATGATTTTCTTTAATTCCCAATCGTCTAAGGGAAAAAATGAATAGCAATGAATTTGTATTGAATCCAATTTTCTACAAGATACAGTTGGTTTTTTGTCAGTGTGCAACAAAACTGTAGCCCTAAAACTTAAGAGAGTATTTGCTTAAAAAAAAGAAACCTTAAAAGCCAGTTTTTGTTTCAATGGAGAGAAAACCGAGATCGCAGATACTAATGTGAATTAATGTCTCTTAAATTTGTCCAAAATATAATGCATAAAATCCGGTTTACTCATTTTTGTAATTTACCTGCTGTAGCGTATATATCAAGGCAGTGACGAAGCAAATCCGACAATGCGCGATGCTGTGCGGCCCATCCCACATGAATCCCCGCCAGAAAACTTACAATTCAATGCCCTTTTAGATAGTGTATGGTTGGTTGCATAAGTGGCAGTAAGTTCCCGATTATCATTATTTTTGTCGGTGATCGTACATGGAATCTTTACTAGGAGGTGGTATTAGATATCTCGCAACCCAATACTCCTAATGTTCGAATATTTGTACAAAAGCAATGAGAAGAACAGGTGGACTAATAATATATAACATACAGTGCCTAAGTTTTATCAAAGAGTAATGGGTACTCTTTGGTTTTATCTCTGAACATGCAAATCTCCCGACATACAAGTCAAATACCCCTTAAGATATGCAACCTGGCTTTCTCTTTTTCAAAAGTTTTTCAATAAACGTCAATATCTGACTTATTTATTAAATTACGTTAAAGAAGAGTACGAATCGAATAAATACTTAAGCGGAATTTCAATCAGGAATATTCAATCGGTACGAAAATAACGGTGCATGCTTACAGCAGAAGTCGAAAAGCGACTGCAATCTTGACTTACCCCATAATCACGAGCAGAGCCACCGTTACCTCCATGCCAAAACGACAGTACTTTCATATCTGGGTAGCAGTTGGTGTTAAAACTGGCGGTTCGTTTTATACACAAACGGGAGAGGAAATTGAATAAAAATTCATAATTTTATGAGTAAGAAAACACAAGAACATGTAAAATATATTACGCACTGGCACACACCCAGGCGATGTTAGGGAAACCTTTTTCGGGACAAAAACCTTGACATAGCCCACACAAATATACGTACTAAATTCACAAAGACAACATCAAAAGAAAATCCACGAAACATTTCAAATTGTGTAACAATAGAAATCAGGTCACGAATTTCAAGATTCTATAGGCACGTCATATTTTTTCCAAAAAACATCAACGTGCATCGCTCCAGCAAGGGCGATAAGCGTTCGCCGATCTTCCTGTTTTTGTCTTGGTAAAAATTCATCAACCACAGCCTTTCGGATCTCTCCATGAATTTTAAAACACCGCAGATGCCTTTCCAGTTACGAGTATATTTATATAGTTCAATGCACATGTATACTATTATCACAGTCTACATACAAAGCTATTATTCCTTTCATACAATTAGGTACTTAGGTTGTAGTGTACTTAACCCTCAGGTTCTACGCTAACTTCACACTACAAGAACACGGAAATAAAGTCAACCCGGCAACGTTTAAAAATGGCCACCCGAATGACTATTCCCTCCAAAACTAAACAAGATCCCGCTTAAATTTGAAAAGTGGTACGTGATCAAACGTCTAAGGCAGGACCCCTTATGTTAGTTGTAGACAACGCTTTAACCTGAAGCACAGTAGGGAAGGAACGTAAAATAAAACACTGAAATTGTGAAAAGTTTGTTTAATAATGATCGCAATTATTAAGATTGTGAAAGCTCGGAAATTTAAGTAAAAAAAAATAACATTGCAAAAATGAAAAGTGGTAGTTCACCGAATAAAAACAGAAATAGGCTGGGAAAAAAAGAACTTACAAATAAAAAAAACCAGCCGTCAAATTAATATCAAATTGTGTTGTAAAATTAATTGTTTGTAATGATATGAATGCGTAACATTAAAATTATAACATCACAAAAAGTAGCAGGTAAACTTCAAGAGGTAACATATAGGTTAAAAACAAGTTTTGGGAATTATGGGTCAGGTAAGCAGGTACCGAGATTCTAAGAAGCGGGAAATACACAGGATGTGACTCATCTTTGGTGCAATAAAGCCCTTTTGTTAAAAGCAAGATGGAAAATTACATGGCCTTGTAGGCAAATTTAACTAAAAACAAGATATGTGGAAATTATTGAATCGCCACTCATTTATCGCACATAGTTTCTAAACTGAAGAGCTTTGATTAGCGTAATCCCGCTTCGGCAAGATAGGTAACCCGTCCCTGGTTTCGGGGCTTCGAGCCTGAATGTCGAAGACAATCACGGAATTAGGTGTCGTGTGACTACAGTTCACAAAAAGTATAAAACGCCACATACAAAACACAAATACGATATAAAGAAATGCAAAAATTACTACCTGCATTAAGAAACACAAAATAACAACAAACATTTATGGAGCGACGCGTTCACGATTGCGATTCAAGACAAGATGCCCAACGAAACCCACGTCCGTGCTTTTTAGATGGCGCAGGCAGCTTTTTCCCATCTAGAAATTGCATGGTTGCCAACTCTCAAAAATGTATGCATCGTCGTAAGTTGTAAGGTTTACACTTACCTATATATTTGAATCTGCGTTAAAACAAAAATCAATCCCCCAAAGAAAACATTAGATTGATTATTAATGTTGCAGTAAACTGGAAACCTTTGCCCTGCCGCTACACCAGATAAAGGAAGCCATATTTCCACTTCAACATCGCCTAAATTTACAAAACCATACCGAAACTTTCTGTTGACCTTTTGGGCTAGTTCGAAGAGCAATCGATTCTCCAAGCAAAGATTTCTACAGGTGTTTATTTGCAAATCCTTCATAAAATTTTGAGGCGCCGCATTTTCCTCCTTTACGGTTATACTTGTGACGTACCTATACACAAGTCTACACTTTGGTCTTTTAGTTAGTTACATACCCACTTAATGGTTCCAAATTCGCCGCACCACGTCGATGACAAATACTCGGGAATGTAAAATTGAAAATTAAAGTATTTACGTTCGTCTGACAGCAGAAACATGCTGGCTCCGCCGGTAATTGTATGCTGCGCCACAGAGAATGTTTCTTTTCCTTGAAACCTTACTCCTTTTTTGAATATGCGCAAACATTTCTTCAGGCATTTATCAAATGTGAAATTACATTCTGCGCTGCCAATGACCTTAGTAATTGAAATGTCATGCTTAGATTTGAAGAGATAGGCAGGTCTGACTTACTTCCGCAGTAATGTACTCTATTGCAGAGACTTTATCTGACCCAATGGCAACCGTACCTTTTAACTCCTGATTTGGATAAACCACCAAAATTGCCTGAAAGTTTATTTCACAATTTATCATTGTTACACAGAGAGAAACGTGTCAGTGTAACATCAAACCACAGCGTCAAACTGACGCTTCGGGTTAGGGTCAACTTTTTCGCTCACTTTATTCCGTCTTGAATTGAAATGATCGTTGGCTAAATTTTAATATAGTGCCACAATCCGAAAAAAATTTTCTTGGGGGCGGTTTTCTGGTGGTGTACCTTTTGATTGCTATGATACACAACTTTTAAGTGCTAAAAGAGTGGACGACTTCCATGTGCATATCGCTCGGATTGACGTGCACGTAAAGTTCGCCATCCACCTCTTTTCGTGACGTCTACCTGTTGATACTTTGTTCAGCTAGCGCAAATCATAAGAACCTTTAGATTTAGATTTGTAATTATTTTCCTCGTAGACGTCCCGCCGTTGTCTCAATAAAAAATTTCACTGTTGACTTTACAATAACAATTTGGGGGACTCGGTAGTCTCGATCAGCTTCCGAAAATTCCAAAGAACACACAAGTTTTCATTCACACCTCTCACATAATTCTTGGGCGCTAATAGAAAAATCTGACATGAAAACTATCCTGGTCGTACTTTGGGTTCGACTAACCACACAGTTTTAATGACAAAAACAAAAATTTATTCCGCAAAACATGAAAAACGAAGTTTAACAACAAGGTGTTGAAAGAAAAAGTCCGTTTTTTACACATACTCCGCACGCAGGTGTCGACAGACTAATAGATACCTAAAGAAATCTTAATTACTTACAAGTTACAGTTATTAAGTAATTCAATCAATTCGTAACAACTTTGCGATATACAGGTGCACTAAAACGCTGAACGCTTCAGAAACTTCACTTCTTTTTGATAACACTGAACTTGATGACAAAATCTGACTTGCTGAATTTGAAGAACAATATTTGGTGGCTTTCCGGAAGGTTCCACTATGCAACAAACTGCTTGGTCAACTCACGCACTAACTTTTTCCGATAAGGGGCAAACGTTTTAAAAACTGCCCACGAACTTTTACTACTTAACTTGACGGTGTAATAATAATAACTTAAATATTTTATTAAGATTATTCTGCACACTTTATTACAATACTGACGATTTACGTTTTCACATACACAGGTCGACTGCTCATAAATTTATCGCAAAGAAATGTATACGCTTTCAAACCGGAGCAAAAAAATCCCCGCCATTTCGTTGTCTCCCGTCTCCACTTCCACCATAAAACAATCAACTCCTCACGTATTTTCAAATCGACCGCCAATCACAATTAGATTAGATAAACGCCAGCCACTACGGATCGCGCCAAACGTCCCCACTTTTTCACATGGAACGCGTAACTCTCTTATTAGCGGAAGAACACGTGCGTTAATTAAATTTCGCCTAAGAATAAAACGCCTTATCGCAACGACCAGATATAATCTTACTTCTAACACCTTAGAGATAAACTTTATTTAGTAAATAAATGCCCACTTTTTTAAACAAGAATTATGCATTTACAGATACTTCTAAAAGGAAAAACAAACACTGAAATACAAGTTCAAATAAAATAAACCAATTTGTGTAAATAGCCCACCAGATTTGGAAGTGGTACGCTTCCTTAGGAGTCGTCTGTACCCACTGCACCCAATGTAAATTTCCATAAGAGCGCCCGCCATAAAAACTCTAGTTGTTTTTCAAAAAAAAAATTTTTTTAAGAACTATTTTATAAATTTAGACCTTTATCTACAAAATGTTCGGACTATTTTTTTTAAAAAGTGTATAGCAACTGAATATCGATTGTTTAAAGATTAGCTGTTTTGCGCCGATTATTGCGCTAATCTGTTTCATTTTTTTACTCGCGATCAAGACGATTTATGGAAAAAGTAAACCGACAGTTTTTTAGATAAGTTCCTTCTAAACATTACCCCAAAAAATGAAATCATATTTTTTGTAAATAAAGTCTGTATCTTGGCGGGCGGTAAATCAACAATTTCAGTGTAACAAGTGGCGCCGCTGCTCAGTGTCGGCGGGAACTAACTAAGGACCAAGACAGGAGTTGACAAAGCAAAAATATCATCTTGTCTCTTGCAACTATAATCATCTATATACTATAATGTAAAAAAGTTGCGCTTGGGTAAAGAAGACTCTTAAATACGGGAAACAACGAAATGACGGGGCTTTTTTTGCTGCGGTTTGAAAGCGTGTACATTTATTTGCACTAAATTTATGGGCAGTCGGCCTGTGTATGTGAAAACGTTCGTTTTGGCCACGTCCATCATTAATTTAACACGAAAAGGTGCTACTGAGAATTTCAGCAGTAGCCAGTAGACATTCAAGCTAAAGCAGACCACCCCACCTAGAATCCCGCATTTTAAACAGAAGGAAAGTTAATTAGTTGGCTTCTTCTTCTCGTATATTGCTAAGACTCTAGACCTGGAGTCAGCACCAGATCCAATTGTATTAGGTTCTTTCTTCACGGAAATAAATAAATTAACAAAAAGATACAGGGCAACAGGTATCAAATCTAAAGAAAAAGTTGAAATCGTAACAAAATAAATCATTAAACTTCACAAGTGAGTTTAAAATAGCTATAAAACAAGTTGAAGATTGATTCTTTATTCCTGTGCATACGTGGATCATTATTTTTGAGAAGATGAAGCTGCTTGATGAATGACTCCATTAATAGGTCTCTAATGAAGGGTGAAGGATTTATAGTGGTTTACCTATTATAATAAATTTTTTCTTTTTTGGCGATCGATTTTGACATTTATTGTCATCATCTGGCCCTATGTATATTTTAGCTAGGGCCAGATGATGATAATAAATGTCGAAATCGATCGCCAAAAAAGAAAAAATTTATTATAATAGGTAAACCACTATAAATCCTTCACCCTTCAAGATGAAGCTGGTTCGCATGCATTTGAAATTCATACGGACTTTGCTTCCTGTGCGTTTTCTTCATTCAAGAAACCTTAACCTATCAGGGCGTCAGTCAGCTGTACCTCCCATAAAAAGCGATCTGTTTCCACATTTCTAAGTGAAGCTGGCTTTTCCAAGGAAAAATAGGATCATTTTTTATTTCTGATCCACAAAGTACATTAAAAATAAAAAGACCCGTGTGTCTTCAATTTTTATTTGCGAGTAAAATAAACCCAAAATAAATTATTGAAAAGCTGTGTTTTTAGCCCGAATTTGAAACGCTTCAGACTAAATACGTCACAAACCTACAACCAATCACGTAGAAGTGAGCTGGCAACCTTACGCGAGGGCCTGACGTTTGTCACATTTGACGTTTTGAGAGGGATGTTTAACTGCATCTAGCACGAAAGTGACAAGTGCCTGTGACAGATGACGCAAGTTATAAATGCCATTCTCCTGCAATATTGCCAAGTCGTTATGTCATCTGAATGGTTCTAGGAGCTGATTGGTCGGGCTTATTACGTCACAGAGCGCGCCACAATCATATCGTTTTGAATAAACCTTTAAAACCGCACATGTTCATTATTTTTTTGCTAATCAGCCTCTATTTTTAAATAAACTTTTACTCTCCAAAAGAATGTTTTATGGTTTCAGGTAGACGCGTATTAAATTAGAACTGCGGAATTCAACTATACTGTAAACCCCCATTGTAACCTAAAGGGAATCTCATCTACATCAATGCCTCTATAAGTTACTTTCAATTTATCATTTGTATAAAGTAGTGGTCGATTATTTTGAGGAATTTGCATAGTAGTTTTGATATTCCTAAAGAAACCGACCTTGAGAATCAAGTGCATGAAACATAAAAATTAAATAAAAAAACTCGCCCTCTAATTAATGACCAATTTTTATGACCTGTAAAAACCATAATCAACAATAAATAGTTTAATATCACTTATTACAAATCATCTGTACAATAAACATAAATTGAATTATTATTACATATACTATTTCATTAAAATTAACACAATTATTAACATATATAAGCTACGATGGAATAACGTGAACAATAACAATTATTGAGTGCTATATCTTTTTGAAAAATCCGATTGCATACTGTTAGCCTCGAAATTTGTGGAATACAAAAAGTTTGAATACTGCGGCGAAGATGAGGAGACGTTTCGATTTAAGGAACGTCGAAAATTCTCGCCATTCGGTCCATCGGCACCGTCAACGCCTCCTACAATAGTTCTCTGCGGGACGTTTGCATTCGGTTCTCGATAACCCGATTGGTAAGCATGAGATTCGTCCTGTGACGCTCTTTGTCTACGGAAAGTATTAAAGTTGCCACAGCAATTACACTTGTTATTTTGAAAGATGAATGTTTTAGGTAAAACCGAAGCACCGGCGGCGTCAATGACCGCTCCTCTTTTACTCTCAGGACACCCGCTACAACAATTGCAGGTGATTGTTTCGCCACCCGGTAGAGGGCCTGTGGTATAAGTGAACATGGCGGAGGCAGTGGCTGGGGATCTGAAAGGACATGGAGGTTAGAAGGAAGGGTGGCGTTTGCCCTCATCATCTCGCGCTTTACTAAATCTCTCATTAGCTATTTCCCTACGCAGGTCTTTATTCTGTTCACTATAATCTAAAGCTCGCTCTTGATAAAAATCTAACTGTTCATTAGTATTTAATCTGAAAGCCACCCGTGTCATATGCCTTTTGAAGAAAAAAAAAACCGTATACTTACAGTTTGGCTTCGCAATCGTTCAGCTTCTGCTTTAACGCCTTTATTTCGAACTCCAACTCTTCGTTTGTCACTTTTTGTCGAAGCGCTTCGTCTCTCGATTCTGCCAGTAATTTCTCCAAATTGTCAAGCGACGTTCTATCTCTAGTGAGGGTGGAATGCAAGGTTTCGCTTTCTCTTCTTAGCCGTAGCACGTCTTCATTTATCTGTTACACATTCTGTCTTTAGCAATACCATTGATTATATACTCAGAGTATATAATCAATGGCAATACTGAATTCAAATCAGGAATTAGAAACACGCGAGCGCAAAGAAGTTTTGAATGTTATGGTCCATGAAGTTATAATATTGTATTGAAAGAGAGAAAAGACTGGAAACGAAATTTTAGATGTATACAGGGTGTTTTTTGGGAGCTTTAGTTAAACGTTTCTGGGAAAGTAAAATAAGTACGTTTTTGAAAATTTGTTCTTAGGAGCTACTCTGAAGGTCGAATCGATGTAAAATATTTTCAAAATGGCCGCACTTCCGGAAATACCGGAAGTAGATTGTAACCTGGTTATTTTAAATGGCAGCTCCTATTTTTTTATTGCATTGTTGGATTCTACGTGAAATTTCAGGCCTTTTGATACCCACAATAGTAGGAGAGCTGGTGGACATTTTTGGGTAAGTATTTGAGGCACGCTGAAAATTTGTCCACCACTTCTCCAATAATACCCAAACACAGAAATGCAGGCCTGGCTGAAAAGAAGCGGGGCTAACACCTTGCCAGGCGCCTTCATAGTTTGAAAAAAGAATGTATGCCCAGTCGAGTATCTGAATGCGTAAGAAGTAGTGGATGATCTACACATTATTAGTGTCGTCTGAATTAGTTGTAATTGTATCATGTTGAAATTTTCATCGTTTCTTATGCCGAAATAAAGACAATTCTCCTGAAAGTTTCGTCAAAAGTGATCAAAGTACACTAGGTGTTCATGTATTTATTGCGGCCAGTATACACCTGCGTCATTGATTTGTCAATCTATTTCAAACAAGATTTTTGATCGATTTCGCATACTTGATAGTTGTTGCAGCGTTTTAGCGTATGTCTGAAATTGATTCACAAATCAATGACATTATTTTTTTCAAACTTTGAAAGCCCCTGGCAAAGTGTTAGCCCCGCCACTCCTCAGCCAGGTCTGCATTTCTGTGTTTGGGTATTATTGGAGAAGTGTTGGACAAGTTTTCAGCGTGCCTCAAATACCTACCTAAAAATGTCTACCAGAACTCGGACTACAAGTTGATATCTGCCATTTATGGTTTTTAAGTTATTTTGACTTTAAGGAAAAAAATGGCGGATGCAGATGGTACCTTGATATAATGGATTACTTGAAAACGGTTGTAGTCATGGCAACCCATTTTTATCGGTGCATAGAGAATGAATAGGGCACGAACTTATAAATTTGATTAAGATGGACTGCTAAGTGTGGTGTCACACTATGCGTTTTTACCGCTCCCGCTAAAACGGATGCGGTTTGACAGGATGAGATCTACTTGTCACACTATTCCGGTTTAACGGGATGCGTTTTTGCTATATTTTGGCAGTCTAAGTAGTGTCATGTCTCAATTATTGTTAAAGATGGTTTGTGCGCTTGAGGCGGAGGGGCTATTGCGAAAGCAGATATATTGTCAATATTAGATTGATCCTTTTAATTCAGGACGAGAATCTAATAATAGGTTCGCGAAGTTTTATGAAAAAATTCGAATGAACAAGAAAATTTTTTTTGTATATTACCGAATGTCCAAAAATTCAATTTCTACCCATGATTTCTCCCTACAGCTTTTATCTACATACTCTTTAGATTGTTTTTCCCACAGTGCAGTTTTTGCATGCACGCACTCGATGAATAAACCGACATCAAACATTGTAAACCTAACAAGACACCCGGTTGCAACGCTCAGTGTGACAACTGATGACAACCAACGTGCAACAACACGTGGTTTCATGTCATTGGGGTTGTCATGTCATCCTGCGCAGCGGCAGCAGAATGCGGTTGCATCCGGTTGGTGCGGCGAAAACGCATATATGTGACTAGTACCATTTAATAACGTGTGATATTATCATCCCGTCAAACAGGAGCGTTTTAGCAGGAGCGGTAAAAACGCATAGTGTGACACCACACTAATGCTGAATTAACAAATGACACCTACATGGGGGCCGCCATGATGTGCACTCACTTGGCGCGAAATTCAAATTAACTAATAAACAAGCATTAACCCAACATTAATAACAATCGTTACTTGATTTTAATCCGTGCGATTAGTTAACCAGGCTAGACCGGAGTTCTCACAAGATACATAATAATAACGTTTATTGCCCTCATAAACACAAATACACTATAATCTTTTAGATACTGTAGCGCAGGAATGAAAAGGTCAATAGAAGCAGGTTCAGTTATGGTGATAACACCAAACTGTTCTACCACCTGTTCCAACTCATAAACACTTAATAGGAAGAAGGAGCCGTGAATAGATCCTCAATCACACAAGCAAAAATAAAAACGATGTGCTGTCACAATTGGTCTCCATTTCCACGTCACCATTGAACTTAAATTTAAAAACAAAAAAAAAATAAAAAAAAAGATTGATGAAAAGATTAATGGAATGTAAACGTTACATACTCCACGTTCTGGTCAGCAACAGGTCCGTTAGCTTCTTTTTACAGATGTAAAATGACAGGTATTTAAAAGAGAACGGTAAGCGGTTACGACAATTAGCTACATTATATATGTAAATGATCTCTTGAAAATTTCAAGGTGATGTTGGGGAATAGTTAGCTCATCTTTACGTCTAATGTTGAGATTATGAACATCAGTTCGGAACTGAATTTTATTGTAGAGGTAGGGCGGCTTGGATGTTAGAATAATTTTGAAATAAGTACAGGCAGAGTGGAGTAATCGTCTATTGCTCATGGTAAGCCAACCAGCTTTGTCAATGGTATGCGATATGTGTTGATACTTAGGAATGCCGTACATAAATCTCAAACACGCGTTTTGAACCAATTGGATTCTATTTTTATCAACCGAATCAATACACCTATCGTATACAACATCTCCATAATTGAAATGAGAAAGGACCAAGGCATCACATAAAATCGTTTTCACGTTGAAGGTCAATATATCTTTATTCGAAAAAAGAATTTTCAGCGTTCCGTAAGCCTTTTGAATGACCAAATTAATGTTTTTTAAACCTGATATCCGTACCTAGTGTGATTCCAAGATGTTTGGCAGATTCTAACGTAGGCAAGAGGTTGTTAGCTAAATAAAATTTAGAATTTACAAGAGCTTTATCTCGTACACTCTTATTCCCAAACATCATTACACCGCATTTATTGGGGTTTATGTACAAATTATGTTGTTTAGATGTCGTAAATAATCGATGCAAATCCATATTAATTAGATCTACATTGGTATCTATTTGAATATAATAACTGCGTATCGTCTGCATAAATATGATAGGTACTAAGTCGTTAAAGATAAGTATATAAAGAAACGATGTGTAGATTGAATAAAGTAGAGGCCCGAGAACAGATCCTTGAGGTACACCGGATCGAACTAGCTCAGAACTAGAAATTCCTGAACATCTTTTAACCCGCTGATACTTATTTGTAAGATAAGAAGAGAAAAGTGCAATTACCCTATCCCCAAGACCTATGTAATGTAGAATAGAGAGCAATAGTTGATGATTAAGTGTGTCAAAGGCTTTAGCGTAATCCAAAAGCACTAACGCAGCAAAATCCCCTTTATCGATAGCTCTGAGTATGTTATCAGTAATGTTCAAAAAAGCTGTTGTGCAACTATAGCCTTTTCTAAATCCAGATTGTGTTCCTGGTAGGATTTTAAAGTGATCCAGATGTCGAACAAGTTGCAGAGAAATACACTTCTCTAAAAGCTTGGAAATAACGGGCAGAATACTAATGGGGCGCAGATCCGAGTAACTTTTTGGATTATTAATTTTGTTTATGGGAACTACTTCTTTGAATATAAAACCGACAGGAAGGAGCATAGCAACCTACGTCCATACATGGAAAGGGGACGGAAACGGCCATATTGACCTTCCATTTATGACTCATTTTTGATTGACATTTAATAAAAGTTAGTTGCGCGATTGTGTATTGTGTGTATTTTTCACGAATTTGAGTTGTTTGAGTGTGTTTTTCGATTAGTTTAACGTGTTGATAGTTAGTGTTATAGTGAACTTTTAAAAAACTATAAATTATTGTAATTATAGGGTAGAAATAGTGATATTATACTGGACTTGAAAAACTCCTACTATCACCGCCACAAGAGAAGAGCCCTGCGTCATCAATGTACAAATGCATAAATCCAAGGTGTTGATACTTACATCTCAACAATTTGCGCAACCCAAAAAAGGACAGAGAACGAAACAAGTTCTTGGGATATAATAGACGTGCGCTTTTGAAAAGCTAAATGTAATCAAAAGAGATAACCTATAACGCTTGTCAAGTTTAACATGCATATTGATGCTAATTTGACCAACGTCGTAATACTAATTATTTTCAAATTTTCCATAACCTCGTTTGCTCTTCGTTCTTCTTTTACCTACGTTTTTTTTCAACTTTCCTGTTCTTTATTGCATTTTAACAAAAAAAGTTCTTTTCACAACTATTCCTTCCTTTGTACATTCATTTACGTTTATCCATTCCCTACACTTAGCCTGTAGTATGTCTGTTCAAGGCAAAACCTTGCATAGACAAGCACAACAGCTTGTTCTGAATTTAATGGACTATTTTCAACGGGAGAAGGAAAACGGTGGTCCTTTATTACCCCTCTCCTGTATACAAGAGGTAAGCAATATGATAAAGATTTTGTTTGTCATTACTACGTTAACGAAATTACAGCGTGTGGCAAATGCTTTAGGGGTATCCGTTACCTCTGTAAAGCGGATCAAGAACCGTGCTGCATCTAACCCAGTTTTATCAAGCCCTGGTAAAAAACGACCGCGTAGGAAAATGAAAAGTGAGGATCTCCCGGAGACTTCCAAAATGGGCATTCGGAATACCCTTTACAACATGTATGCACAAAGTGAGTACTTATTAAACGTGCTTGCAATGTGGAACGAAGCTCTACAGCATTGCGATCCAACCATCTGGGCAAACTGTGTTCGTCATACAGAAGACACGATAAAGCTATGGTATAAACGTGAAGAA